TGGGAGGAATGTAGATATTTGTGTAAATTTACAAATTTAGTGGGATCACCTTAATACCTTCGAATTCGTTGCAAATGTTTACAATTCAGCTTAGATCTCATTTTGATAGAGACGGTTAATAAATGCGAGTGTTGTTAGAGCCCTTTAAGTGTTTTTTTTAATAATAAATTTGGCTCTATAATTTATACATAATATATTTCTAGGATGGCCCTATATTATTAGTAAAACTTATGTCTTAAATAGCTGTATAGACACTTCTGCTGCTGATAGAATTAAATCTGGTTCTTTGGGTAAGTTATCGATAAAAATTAACCCTTTTCATTTATTTGTTCTTTGTCCTGCTATAGTTTTCTTTTACGGCAGTTATCATTTTTTGGAATAATCGCCACTTTTTTAAATAACGTTGCTTTCCAGACAAAAAATACATAGAAAAACATGCACGCACACGTACATACATACATTGTAAATATGTCAGCAATAGTTGTGCTACCTTTCTATTTCCTGACCATTCATATTTTGTTAAATCTGTTGAAAGTCACAATTATAGTTTTATGCTTGCAGGGTATAATTGATTGTAGAACTAGTTCTCATGTTCCGCAGAAAGCACAATACGCATAATAATCACGAGGATGACGATGTCTACCAGGAGCAGAAGGTAATGAGTTAATTCATAACTTTTCTATTAGCTCCGAACAAGATTTGTCGCTGCGTTTATTGATGTTATCAATTCCTCGTAGATTTAGTGTCGGGTTCAACCTTTAAATATGAATCTGAAACTTTTCTGAGATTTTCACTCAATTTGAATTTGGTCAAATGGTTCCTACAGAATGGGTGTTTCAATTTTCTTGTGATATAATCTTATCCTTTGGTTCTATGAACAGCATTCTCGTAGAGTCATGTCATTGAAATCCACCTGATCTCTGTCAGGGTTATACATGTAGCTTCCTTGCATTGCTTTCATCTATTCATAATTGTTGGATGCTCATGGATTTTGGACAGAAAATTGAAGGAAGCTGTTTGTTGTCATAGGTATTCTTTCCAAGGGAGCTATGTCCTTGAGACCATGAGATACACAAATTCTTCAGATCTTTGTTGGATATTGTTACTTCACATACTTCAGCCAAAACATGTTTACATATCTAGTTCGTATTTAGGGTAAGAGCGTATTTTCTGCAAATCTCTCTTTAAATGGTAGATCAAATATTCAAGAGAAAGAAACAGGTCATGATGGAGCAATTCTAGACCGTTATGCAGCGTCCATAGCGGAAAGCACAGCATCTTTTTTTATCTTGTTGAGTTATTTAGGTAGTAATTAGTCAATGTTGTTGGACCTATTTGTAAGAGTGGACTTGTATAAAAGGGGTATCTCTCTATGAGAGAAATAGAACAACAAAAAGAAACCCTAATTAATCTACATGGTATCAGAGCCTAACCTAGCCGCCTCCCTCTTCTTCAACCCGACGAAACTCCAAGCAAATCCGAGGGCTGCAGTGATCCGTCAGCCTAGGTTGCCTGGATCGCTGTGATCAGACCATCGCCGCCGCCGATTCGACAGCTGGAGTTACCGCGGCAGAGACTGGCGTCGGGGAGCAAGGTGGTCGGCGGCGGTTTTGGCGTCGACAGCAGGATCCCTTGTTGGTCCCGATGCGGATCTCGTGGATCGCGTTGGACTTGCGTAGGAGGAAGTTGATGGTGGAGGCGAAGGTGATGTCTGTGGAGAGTGCGAACACCTGCACTGCTGTTTGCGTAGGAGGCGAGTGGTGGTGTTCCTCGAAGGCTGATCGTCGCCATTAGGGTTACGGGTCGGTTTCCCCTTTTGTGATTTGGGGATTTTGGGAGAAGAGAAAGGGGACCAGGGAATGATCGTGACCATTAGGGTTACGGGTCGGTTTCATTTTTTGTGATTTGGGGTTTTTTTTGGGGGGGAAGAGAAAGGGGACAGTGATTAAAAGATGGGTTTGTGAGTAAGTAGCTTGATTAAAAGATGGGTCTGTATTAGGTAATTAAGTAGATCTATTTGGTTCTTAATTTGTGATAGCTTATTTAGGTTCCCTCGACAAGTCAGTCCTAGAACTGATGAGAGAAGAGCTGATATCTCACTTTGTTAAGATATCTTGCTTTTGGTTCTTGTTTTCTTGGTGAAACAGGAATTCTTGTTAATCTATCTCTCTTGTTGTGTTGTCGAAGTGCTGCCGGAATTTTTCGTTGCGCACCATAAGAATACAAGTTGGATCGATGATGAAGACTGAAAAAAATCCAATGGAGGAGATCATCAAGAAGTTGAATAACCTGAGGGTATTCCAGATCGAGAAGGAGATCAGCGCTATAGTCCAGGGAGAGAGGACTGTACAGGAGTACGCCACAGAGCTGGAGCGCTTGTGGCTTGATCACGATCACTTCTCGCCCCTAGCGAGCTGCAAGGATCCAGAGTGCAAGGAGCGCGAGGCCTCTTTGCAGAAGAGGACCATGTTATTTCTCCGAGGTTTGGCTTCAGCGTATGAGCAGAGGACGACATTGCTACTAACCCAGACGAAGATCCCACCACTGGAGAAGGCAGTCTCGGCCATGATACAGGAGGAGAGTCGTATCAGGCTACAGTCTGGGATAGGTGGACTTACAGGGGAGAAGTCTGCACTAGTGGTATCCAACCCGGATAACACTGGATTCAGAAGGAAGACTAGGCAATGCTTCAACTGTGGAGAGGTAGGGCATCTGAGACAGATGTGCCCTAAGCCACCCAGAGAAAGGAACTAGGGTGAACGTAGTCAGACTGGTGGCCGTGCAGGTCGAGGAGGCAGGGGGCGTGTAGGCCAAGGAGTTGCTCACCTAGCTGTGACAGATGAGTCTCAGACTACTGTTGGGATGACTGGAGCTGAAATAACAGAGCTGGAGGAACTATGTCTGTTCAAGCTTCATGCTGAGAGTTCTAAGGGCAAGGGACAAGTAACGCAGGATCTGGCTACCACTACATGCTTTGGTAACTTTATTGGTTATGCTCATGCGAACAAAGGTACACAGGTACAGGGGAGAAGTCTGCACTAGTGGTATCCAACCCGGATAACACTGGATTCAGAAGGGAGACTAGGCAGTGCTTCAACTGCAGAGAGGTAGGACATCTGAGACAGATATGCCCTAAGCCACCCAGGGAAAGGAACTGGGGTGAACGTGGTCAAACTGGTGGCCGTGCAGGTCGAGGAGGCAAGAGACGTGTAGGCCAAGGAGCTGCTCACCTAGCTGTGGCAGATGAGTCTCAGACTACTGCTAAGATGACTGGAGCTGAACTAACAGAGCTGGAGGAACTACGTCTGTTCAAGCTTCAGGTTGAGAGTTCGAAAGGCAAGGGACAAGTCACCCAGGATCTGGCTACCACTACATGCTTTGGTAACTTTATTGGTTATGCTCATGCGACCAAAGGTACACAGGTTCAGACACTTGCATCCACTAAAACTCATGTTGATTGGATCATAGACTCAGATGCATCTAGGCATGTTACAGGAGCATCTAGTGAGTTTGCATTATATTATCCGAGTAAGCATATGCATCCTGAGACAGTTCAGACTGCTGATGGGACATCCCAACCCATCAGGGGTACTGGCTCGGTCCATTGTACTTCATCTGTTACATTGTCATCTGTATTGCATGTTACTTCGTTTCCAGTTAACTTACTCTCAGTTAGCTCTCTCATTGATCAATTAAATTGCACCATGTTAACTTACTCTCAGTTAGCTCTCTCATTGATCAATTAAATTGCACCATGTTATTTGATCGAGATTTGTGTGTCTTTCAAGAGAAGGAAACGGGGAGGAGGATTGGGACTGGCATCAGACGTGATGGTCTTTGGTATTTGGATAGGGAGACTGCAATGATTGCTGCTGCTGTTAGCAGAGGGCCAGAAGCAGAAGCGATGCTTCAACATTGCCGGTTAGGGCATTTATCTTTTGAGAGTTTAAATAGATTAGAACCTGAGTTAATGAAGAAAGTGGATAGAAAAGAGTTATTTTGTAATGCCTGTGAACTTGGAAAGCATACTCGTTCTACTTATAGAATGATTGGTCTTCGAAGTTGTGAACCATTTGCACTTGTCCATTCTGATATTTGGGGACCATGTCCTACTACCTCTATTAGTGGTTTTAGATGGTTTGTTACTTTCATTGATTGTTATTCACGTATGGTTTGGATATACATGATGAAACAGAAATCTGAGGTTTACAAATGTTTTCAAGACTTCTCGGCCTATGTGAAGACATAGTTTGGAATGCAGGTGAAGATTCTCCGAACAGATAATGGGACTGAGTATGTCAACAAGGAGTTTGACGCTTTCATCTCTAGTCAAGGAATCCTTCATCAAACCACTTGTCCAGACACCCCTGCTCAGAATGGGGTAGCTAAACGTAAGAACAGACATCTACTGGAAGTGGCTCGTTCATTGATGTTGACAATGAATGTGTCTAAGTTTTTATGGAGTGAGGCTGTCATGACGGTAGCTTATTTGATCAATAGGATGTCATCAAGAGTATTAGGGATGAAGACACCGTGTGAGATGCTCTTGGGCTCGAATGTTTTCGTTGTTCCACCAAGAGTGTTTGGATGCACATGTTATGTGAGGAATCACAGATTGATGGTGAGTAAGTTGGATCCGCAAGCAGTTAAATGTATCTTTGTTGGCTACTCATCAAGTCAAAAAGGATACAAATGTTGGTGTCCCACTGAAAGAATGTTGTTTGTTAGTATGGATATGACTTTTCGAGAGTTTGAACCTTTTTATGGTGAGAAAACAGAGTTAAGTTCCTTGTTTGGAGATGGCTCTACTGATGCTAGTAGAGAAGGGGAGAATGAGAATGAAAATGAGAATGAGAATGACGTCGTGGTTGGGATGATTCCATGTCCTATTGAGCCACCGAGCAGTGATGATACACCGCTGCGTAGTGGTGGCGACTCAGGAGGTGACAGTCAAGGTCAGGGGGAGCTGAGAGTATACACGAGGAGACAGAAGGAGGTGACAGTCAAGGTCAGGGGGAGCTGAGAGTATACACGAGGAGACAGAAACAGCAACATGAGCCGCCTCCTGTGCTCAGGGGGAGCTGAGAGTATACACGAGGAGACAGAAACAGCAACATGAGCCGCCTCCTGTGCCTGTGCCTGTGCCCACAAATATTGATGTCCCAAGTCCATCCTCTCAAGTGACTTCTTCACCTGAATCGATAGGTAACGAGTTCTTCCCTGATACTTCTAATACCCCCGTCTTGCCCTGTAGAACCTCCAGAGTCAATGCTGGAAAACCTCCAGCTAAGTTTGGTAGTTGGGATACTGACATTGCGAATTACATTTCATATGCATCCATTTCACCTGCATATAAATCATTCATTGCATCACTGCATTCAGTGTCTGTACCTAACAACTGGCAGGTCGCTAAGCAAGACCCTAGATGGTTGAGTGCCATACAAGAGGAACTTCGGGCTTTGAAGAAGAATGATACATGGGAGTTGGTACCTCTGCCAGCTGGGAAGCGTGCTGTTGGATGTAAGTGGGTGTATACGGTTAAGCAAATGGTACCTCTGCCAGCTGGGAAGCGTGCTGTTGGATGTAAGTGGGTGTATACGGTTAAGCAAACTCCAGAGGGCAAGATGGGTGTATACGGTTAAGCAAACTCCAGAG